GTGTGTGGGTGGGTGGGAGGGGGGTGAATTCAAAAAAATAGCAAATAACGGCCGAATGACTATAATAAAAAACTTTTTTTAAACTATGACAATTTGGTACCATTTATTTCAGTATTAGATCCGAGATGACAAGCTTCAACTAAGGTAACCTCTAATAATTTGTATCTAATCAAGGAGTTCAATGATTCATTGAGATAGTGAGGGCACGACTGACTTTAATTATAAAAAGAAATAATTGTAATAAGCCCCGGGAGTGATAATAAGCTGGCCTTGATTAGCCGCGTCACAAACGCGCCTAATCTCGCTACCGTTGCCGATCTTCACACCGATCCGGCCCATCTTCACCATTGCGATGGCGAAGTCCCGCGCGAAGGTCGAGTCGTCGACCACGTACGTGTCGACAACCGAGCGAGTAACCCTATCGCTGTATAGGATCGCATCCGACGGCAACACGGAGAATCCGCTCCGGATGTTGCGAAGACTCTGGTCGTCGAAAACACTGCTCGTGACGTGGTCGAGCGGGGTCCTAGCCAATATGTCTCCGCCTCTCGGACACTGACTCTGGAAAGACGGTAGCAAGTCCGGACTGATGACCGGATCTGAAGCGTTGACTCCTCCACCGAACGTGTAGAGTCTATCTGTAACGAAGAAGCAAGCGGTAGTTCCGATTGTATGTGCTCCCCCTACAAATGTTATTTTATTTTCGTTTTTTTGATTAATCAATGTTATTCTACATTTCTTTTGTTGCACACAATGTATATCTTTCTACTTTATTTGATATTATATTTTGAATCCATTTCACGAAACATATTAAATATATATTAATGACGTCATATTTGAATTTTCTTTAACTAGAAGCAGGTCATGTATGTAATTGGTCAGTATTTAAAAGCAATAATTGTTTGGGCTATATAACCCAAACAGACCATGTATGTAATTCGTCAATATTTAAAAGCAATAATTGCTTGAGCTATATAACCTTAAAACTAGTGGGCCTTTATAAAATAAAATACGAGGGCCACATTGAGGCCATAAATATAATATTAAATAAACTTTAATTATTTAATTAATCATGATAACTCTTATTACTAAGATAAGAGGACTTCCTATTATAAGTTCTTTCTAAAACTCTTAAAAAAAATTAAAAATAATAATAATTTTAATTAATTTCATGTTTTTTCCCAACTCGACCCGTGAACGTGTCTAACTGCCTGCCCAACTAATTTTTTTATTAACTATTAATAAAATTTAATAATAACAAAAAAGGGAGGGGGGGGGGCTTGGGCTCGAGCTCAAACTCGATAAAATGGGCTCGAACTCGAGCCACAAAAGGAAGAAAATGAGTTTGTATCGATTAACCGTAGAAAAGACAATAAATTATACACTTTGAAGATTATTAAAAATCGCCTTGACTAAAAAAAGGATTGTTATAAATTTTTCACACACTTTGCACGTACTTTGCACATATTTAATTATTTTTTTATAATTGAAGTCAGCAGTGCCTCACTATCTCAATGAATCATTGAACTCCTTGATGTCAACCGCTTAAATTGATAGTTTCAGTTTCCAAAATATGCATTGGAGATACAAATTATTAAAAGTTACCCTTCGTTGGACCTTGTCATCTCAAATCTAGTATTAAAATACATTTTACCAAACTGTCGTACTGGAAAAATGTTTTTATTATACACACTAATTTGAATAAGATCTATAATAATATAAAATATTATAGAAATAATATAAAAAAAATATAAATATTAAAAATATATGTATACTTATGATTTATTGTTTATTTTGAATTTATTTTATTATAATCTAAATATTTTTAATAATAAAGTTTAATAATTAAAAAAAAAAATCAAAATAAGCTTGTTGCTCGAGCTCGACAAAATGGGCTCGAGCTCGAGCACAAAAAATAAAATAAACTCAACGAACTCGAGCTCAAGCTCAAGCTCGACAAAATAAACTTGAGCTTGAGCTCAACCCTGCCAAACAGACGAGCTCGACTCGTCACACTCCTACTTGAAACCTTAATGAAATTACATCACCACACCAACAACCATCACAAGTTGTGGTTTTAGCCTTCTGGAGGCTCCAGGAGTCAACCATCACAAGTTGTGGAAGAAAGACGATAAATTATGCACTTTCAAGATTATTAGAAATCGCTTCTACTAAAAATTATTGTTATAATTTTTTCACGTACTTTGCACGCATTTTTCACATATTTAATTATTTTTTTTTTAAATTGAAGTCACTTGTGCCCTCACTATCTCAATGAGTCCGAGCAGGATTCAATAGTTATCCAAGGTTTAATTTGTTGTCTTTCTTTGTGCATGCATGTTGTGTTGTCCATGATTTAATTTGGTCGTTGTTTTGTTTATCTTACTTAAATTTTATTAATTTTCTTGAGCAGTGTTTTATTTTTTTGCTTTTCTTATATATATATATATATAATTCATCTTAGGTCTCACTTAATCAACGACGAACAGTCTTCTTCTATTCGCGCTACTCGTAGTACAATTCATGTTCACAACACGCGCTTCGTGCCCGAACGCCGAGGCCATTGTCAGCCAAGTGTGAACCGAGCTGCCATCGACAACCCTCGTGTGCCGCTGATTCTTCTCCGACTGTATTTTCACGATTGCTTTGTCGAGTTTTTTTTTTATTTATTTCAATAATTTTATTTATAATATATTTATCCATTTCTGTTTTCTTTTCACTTTGAGGGTTGCGATGGTTCTATTTTGCTTATACAAAGGGCATAGACCAACCCAAGAAGGAAGCACTTGGCCATCAAGGAGTCCAATGATTTCTTGAGATGGCGAGTGCCAAACAAGCATTCGAATCTGCCTGCCCGACGTTGTTTCGTGTGCGGACATCGTCGCTATGACCGCACGAGACGCCATCGTATTGGTAATTTTTTTTTCTTTTTTTCTTTTTAGAAATTTCAATTGAAATATGTGGGGATGTGAACTGAATTGGTAGATAATTAGTTGTGGTAATTATTTTTCAATTGAAAGTAAATAAATATTTTTTTTCTTTTTTCTTTACCCCTAGACTGGTGGACCGATTTACGCAGTCAAGACCGGGAGAAGGGATGGCACGGTTACAAGTAGATTACTTGCAACCGACATGCCTGACTCTCGCGACCCAGTCGACATCCTTAAGTCCAAGTTCTTCAGCAAAAGACTTTCCGAGGCCGAGCTCGTCATTGATTGATTGAAAATGTTGATTTTTATTCGAGACTTGAAAAAAGTATATTGTTCCTAGTGTGTGTTTATGCATTAAAATTTTGCATTTGTTGAGAAAATTCAATTTGTTATGGAAGTTTGAAAACAAGTAAATTATTATTACAATTTCAATTAATTTGAGTTTGTATCGATGAACCATAGAAACAAAGTCAATAAATTATGCAATTTCAAGATTATTTAGAAATTATCGCCTCTATAAAAAAGGATTGTTAGAAACTATACACATACTTTGCACGTACTTTGCACGCACTTTGCAGATATTTTATTATTTTTTTATAATTGAAGTCAGTTGTGTCCTCACTATCTCAACGAATCATTGGACTCCTTGATGAGATACAAATTATTAGAAGTTACCCTTCATTGGACCTTGTTATCTAGAATCTAATATTAAAATACATGTGAAGCGTTGGTGCATATATATATATATATATATATATATATATATATATATATATATATATATATATATATACCTTATATCTAATATTAAGTCAAAAGAATTGTGACTTAAGAGTGCCGCATGTCAAAAAATTAGTGTAATCCGATTTATATTAAATATCGGCTGATCCGCTCAGAATTTAATTTTTAAAAACCAAATCTTGTTTGTTGCTGGTAAGCTCAATCCTTATATTATTTTATTTGAAAGACGGCCTATCTGGCCCACGGACTCTGCCCACTCGGCCCATTTGTTTCATGGCCGATGGCCCGGCCCATGTAGGAAAACCATGTCAAGCCCGACTCCTCAGCCCATTTTACCCTATTTTGACGGTCCCGAGGGGCCTAAGGCAAACATCTTTTATTATAGTAATCATATAATTATATAGAATGAGTTTATAAATTATATATTTATTTTAAAGTTATTATATAAGTAAGATATATATTTTATTAAAGTAATTTTGATAATTTACTAGTAGAAAAAAAAAAAAAAAACTCATAAAAGTAGAAACTTAATAAGAAAAGTTTAAAGTAGAAACTCATACTTATTAAAGTTGAAAGTTGCAGAATAAGTGGTACTGAAGATAAAATTACATAAGGAAAATTATAAGGAATTTTTTTTCAAGCTGTTGGAAGAGCTACATGCTGTTAGTCACAGCTTTTTGAAGCAAAAAAAAAAAAAAAAAAATAAATAAATAAAAAGAAAAGAGAGAAAAATAAAAAAACGGCTATAAAATTTGGGCCAAAAACGGGTCAGGCCTTGCGGGCGGCACCCGGCCCGGACCAGCCCACGGAGTAAAAGTGATGCCCATCCCATGATATTAAATTTCTGGGTTGAATCCATGGGTTTGCTGTGGGCGGGCTTCACTGGCCTGGGTTGCGGGCGGGCCGTGGGCCCATGGTGGATGCAAGGAGGACGAAAAAAGCATCCATGGTGGACGCAAAAGGGTGTCAGATTTTTTTTTAATTTAGATATAATAATTATTTATTAATATTTACTAACGATATTAAATATTCTTAATGTAAATGTTTTATGTGTTTTTTCTTTTGAAAGAAGTGAACGATGTTGAGGAGAGAAGTCGGAGAGAATATGTACCTATTTGATTTATGTGCAGGATTTAGTAGATTTTAGTGTGACATTTAGCACTACCCATATATTAATATAGTCGTAATTTACAAAATTCGATTAATTTAGAAAAACATTAAATTAGCGAATTAACAATTTAATAATTTATTACTATATCGAAGTTCTACTGTATATATAGAAAATAAATGGTGTACTCGATTGAAATGTCCAATTAGTAGTCCTTAGAAGGCCGAAAATTTAAAAGGAAATAAAAACTCAAAGATTGGCCCAATTCGGCTTTGAAAAGCCCAAAGCCCAATTCTCTCTTTCTCTCTCCTTCCCTCCGTCATTTTCTCTTTCTTCTCTCCAGCTAGGGCTTTTTCTCTCTGTAGAAGTTACAGTGAACCTCTAGAAGAAGCAGCTTCATTTTCAATGGCGATGCCACTGGGGAGGGACGATTACGCTGAAGACGAGCTGGATCAGGACGAAGATTACGAGTGCGACGCCGTTGATGAAGAGACGGTGGTGGATAGCGACGGATAAGAGGAGGAGGACGACGACGGAGATGACGGTTAGGGTTTCGTTTATTCTTTCTCTCCGCCGGGAAATTTATTTTCTTCATTGATTCGTATTCTTCAATTGAATTTTGAGTAAAGTTGCACCTACTGTTACTGTCAAATGGAAAAAAACTGGAAGGCAAAATGCATGATTTTTGTTATTGTCATAACAAATTCAACGCTGGTTAATGATTTTTGTTTGTTATTCAACATGATAGTGGAAATTATGAGGAGCTTCACATTGGGATTTACACTGTTACTAGGTGAATTTTCTGAATCAAAATATTTGGGGCTTAAATCGAAAAGATTTTAGGGTGTGAAATTTGAATTTAAATGGCAGAAGAAACCATTAATAACAGCTTAAAAATTCAGAGAAGTTGTTGGTTCAATTGACTGAAAAGGACATGTGTGGCGGAGTAAATGCTTGATATTTCGATTTTCAAAACATGGCGAAGGTTGATAAATGCTCGTTGTCGTAAATGTTGGTGTGTGTTGTGTTGGGTTGAGTCTTGCAATTAGAGCATTATCCATGTTGGTGATCTTTTCCTATGTTGATTATAATTTATTAGAGTTAGGAATTGAGCAAAAGTCAGATTTAGATATTTTCATTAGTTAACTTTTGTTTATGCGAGTTCCGATTTAATAAACTTGATGTCACAGTGTTATCAACGCATGTCCTATTCGTATTATGTTATGTATTTTTGGATCATCATAATCTCTTACTAGGTAATTGAAATGATTGCAAATGCTTTATTCATGTTCATTCTGTTTTTTTATTATGCTGAGTAGATGGTCTCACTTGTTCACAGTTGCTATTATCGTCTGTTAATCTGATGTTCTGGGATCTCGATATATAGCAGGCAATAGTCGTTGAACAGCAAGCTCTCTCTGCCGTCGATTAGGGTCTAAAATTATGGATGGTGAAATGTGCGGTATGATAGACGAAATTCTTTAAATGGAGTTAGCAGTTTGCCCTATGCATAATTATATCGGTAAAGGGATCTGAGTTACCAACTAGATCCGTCGTAGCATTTGATCATCTCAAAAGCTATATACATAGAGGCAGAAAAATCTATTTCAAATTTTATTTTTCTGTTTTTTTTTTTTTTTCACGTGTGAATTCTTGTAATAAAATTGATTATATGTGTAGGGAGGAACAGCTTTGAGTGTAGATTAAACGTGTCGTGGGTGATGCTTTTCAGGTTAGCCCTAATAGATAGGAACGGACCAAGATTATTGTTTTGATGTTAGGAGATATTAAACACAAGATAGTTAGTTAAGAAGTTGTTTTACGAAAGACCGACGTAAGAACATTTATCCATTTTAGATGTTGTAAAGATTCTAGAGGCGCGTCTCTGTAGGCTGCGCTTCTCGAACTGTACTTTTAGTTTATGAATATAATTGATCTTTTGGTTCGGTCCAATTTTGTTAACTTAACCCCGATGTTGTAAAAATCGGACCGGACCGGACCGGACATTGATCCGGACAAGTTACTGGGGTCACGGTTGGATCCTGTTTAACCGGTTTTTTCGTTTTTAATTATTTATATTTTCTTTCACACACATTAAATCATTACTCGTTTCCGATTGAAACATAAATCAAACCTACTTTTATTTTACACACACGCGTCACACCGAATCATTTCAAATACTATATAAATTATAATCTAAAAAAAATAAGTCTTCCAATTTCAAAGTTTTCTATTTTGAATTAGATCTTCTTCTTTCAAATGGGGCAGTAAAAAGAAAACTGATTTTTCACTTGAGTTCAAATTATACGGTTCGACCAACCGGACCGGGCTAGTCAACGGCGGTTTAATTGAGCCATCTGTACTGTAAATCTATAATAGCTGATAGAAATATATATATATATATATATATATATATATATATATATCTTTTGTCGTACAACACAAAATCAAGCAAATAGACATAAAATAATTTCATGTAAAAATTATTTCAAGAAATGAATAATTCACAAACCAGTATTTTAATCTTAATAATTAATTTTTTTTAAAGCACTTTATTCGAACATTTTCTTCTAATGTTTTGGATACTTGTAAGTTGCAAGAATTCATTGAATGGACATGGGTTCAACTTCAAGTATGGAAAAAATCCATTTTAATTATACATTATTAAGTGGTCCATCTGATTTCATTCTATTTCAAGATTTTGCGTATAACAGCCATCGTTCTTTGTTCTTTTGTTTATTTATTTATTTATTTATTATTATTATATTATTTAATAGAATTGCTGAGGAAATATAGTTGTTTATCACACGTGACATTAAAATCCAATCTGATTACAATCATCGTGGGAATCTGAACCACACACAATAAATACATGGTAGACCTAAATTGAGAAAAAAAACAGCATTATTAATTAGGGCTGACATTGATTTTCAATCATGTTTGCATGAACTCTTGATTTATTTTTGTAAATTTCACACGTACGGAGGGATGCCCATGCATGTTTGCATGGTAAATTGCGCAAACAAACATAATTAACTTTACACGTGTAAACTTATATTTATTATTAAATTGAGCAATCTATATTCTATACTGTAATTGAGCAATGAAAGAAATATTATTGGACTATAATTAATTGTGGATCTTTTTTAGTTCATATTTTTGGCCCAAGCAGTTTCGGTTGGGCCTTCTTAGGCCCTTTAAAGTTTTTAACAAGAAAAAAAATAAAAATAAATAAAAATAAAAAGGGTAAATTACAACCATCCTGAGGTATGGTTAATTTACAAAAAAAAAACCTATTATTTGGATAATTACATCTACCCCCACTTATGATTTTTTCTTACACCTCCACCCTTATGGTGTCAAATTCAACATAATCATCTAGATTTAGTGGAATGTGCTCTAGTTTGTACTCGTTTTGTGTAAAAATATAGTTTCTGATGCACCACAAACTGATATATACAAGCCAAAAAAACACATATTATGATCATTTTGCTTCAAAATGTGGAGTTCAAATGGGATAAAACGGGTACAAAAGTGATAATATCCATACAATCTCGAAGATTCCACTAGATTTGAAACCACAAGGGTGTACGTGTAAGAAAATTTATAGTTAATGAGTAATTGTAATTACCAAACAGAAAGAGGATTTTCGTAATTTGGCCATACCATAAGGTTGATTGTAATTCACCCCCAAATAATAATAAAACAAATACCGTAAGGTGGATTGTAATTCACCCCCAAATAATAATAAAACAAAAAAGGTGACAGGTGGGGTGGGAAAGGTACTGCACATGCATGCATGTATAAAATTCACTGCACTACGTAGGATCGAAGTAATTCTTATTACCAAATAAGATATATAGATGATTATAGCAAATTTTTCTATATATAGTTCTTTTGTCGAATAACACAGAATCAAGCAAATAGACATATATATATGTATATATATATAATATGTTTTCATGTAACTATTATTTACAAGAAACGAATATTTCTCTAAATACCACTATTATCCTAATTATTGTTATTTTAAAGCAAATTATTCAAATATTTTTGGAAACTTTTGTATATATATAGTTCTTTTGTCCTATAACACAAAATCAAGCAAATGGACAAAATATAATTTCATGTAAAAAATATTTCTAGAAATTAATAATTCATAATTAAACCAGTATTTTAATCCTAATTAATGTTTTTTTAAAAGCAATTTATTCGAATATTTTCTTCTAATGCTTTGGATACTTGTAAGTTACAGTAAACTCATTAAATGAGCATGGGTTCAAGTATGGAAAACCCCATTTTAATTAATTATTAAGTGGTCCATCTGATTTCATTCTATTTCAATATTTTGGATACTTTCTTTCTTTTTCTATTTTTGAGGGCTTGCATGCATGCACGTACTTAACACTTATGGTGAATTCATTCTATTTCAATACTTTGGATACTTTCTTTCTTTTTCTATTTTTGAGGGAATGCATGCATGCACGTACTTAATCCTTATGGTGAATTCATTCTATTTTAAGGTTTTGCGTATGCGTATAACAGCCACCTTTTCCTTTTTTTCACGTGTAAACTTACATTTTTTTTATTAAAAAAAGTGTAAAATAAACGCCAATTCATCAAATTAACAACTATATATAGATATGCATGTTATGTCTTATTCTTCCCTCACTGCTTCATCAAAGTTCATAACTTTAATTTCTTTCACCTAATTCCTCAAATTAAATGGATCCAAAAGCAATTTTTTTTGTCATAATTATTTTTCACCACCATTTTATTTCAGTAGGAAGCGAACTTCAAGTTGGCTTCTACTCCGACAAGTGTCCATTCGCGGAGGCGACCGTCGAGGCTGCTGTGGTGGACGCTGCGGTAGTCAACCCTAGGGTTGCCCCGATTCTGCTCCGCCTTCATTTCCACGACTGCTTCGTGGAGGTGTAATATAATTCCTATCTTACCTTTTTTTTTTTTTTTTTTTTTAATTATTTGTATGTTTTAACCTTTTATTGTTTCTGTAGGGCTGTGATGGATCCATACTGATTACAACCGGCGTACAGGATGCTGAAATTAGTGCATCCGCACACCAAGGGGTAATGGGGTTCGACGTGATCGCGAAAGCGAAAGCGGCAATCGAAGCTCAGTGCCCGGGGGTCGTGTCGTGCGCTGATATCGTGGCGATTGCCGCTAGGGATGCCGTCGCCTTGGTACGTACACGAATCGTTTTAGTTTTGAAGTGTTTAATTTATTTATGTATAATTTTCTAGCAAAACTTAATCGGAAAATATCACTTGAAACAAATAATTCAAGTGAATACAACCCTAAAAAATAGCCTAAACTTGGTTTTTATATTTACTCAAGAAAATAAAATATATACATTTTATTACTCAATTAAATTTTATCGCTGCACAAAAATATATGTTGATGTAAATTGGGATACCAATAAGACCAATATATAGTATGTTATACTATATTGATACTAAATAAAATATTACTTTTATATTCACTAAGATATTTTTTAAGAAAATATGGATTATTTTACATTATAAGAAATTAGTATTTTTCATTAAATCTGTTACAGTTATAATTTTTAAGAAAAACTGGACCTTTTTATGGGCCTATTTCATATATTTAAAATATGTGAAACTAAACTGGCCTATTTCATATATTAAACTGGCCTAACTTGGTTTTTATAATTCAAGTGGATACAATCATACAACCGTAAAAAAATAGCCTAAACTTGGTTTTTATATTTACTCAAGAAAATAAAATATATTTGTTTTTTAACTCAATTAAATTTTATATCTGCTCAAAATTTTATATGATGTAAACTTGCATACCAAAAAGACTAATATATAGTATATTACACTATATTGATGCTAAATATAATATTATTACTTTTAAATTCACTAAGATATTTTTTAAGAAAATATGGATTATTTTACACTATAAGAAATTAGTATTTTTCATTAAATCTGCTACAATTATAATTTTTAAGAAAAACTGGACCTGTTTATGGGCCTATTTAATATATTAAACTGGCCTAACTTGTTACTCAAAGTCAGCCCAGCCCACTTAATTATGGGCCTATGTCATATATTAAAAATCGGCCGAACTTCTTACAGCCCAGTTTCAGTCCAAGTCCAACTTAACTCTAATAAAACGTCGCCCTTTGCTTAATCGATGTTTGTGTTTTAATTTATTTGTCTTTTGGCTGATTTTTTTGTTTTTCTCTTTTGGCAACACGTGTTAAGGCCGGAGGTCCGACTTATGAGGTCGAGACCGGTAGAAGAGACGGTAGGCTTTCCAGTGCAAATATGGCATGGCGCATGCCACAATTTCACGATTCCGTCCACACGCTTCGGTTAAAGTTCTTCGAGAAAGGACTCACCGAAGCCGATCTCGTCTTGCTAAGTGGTAAGTAGTCTTTTAATAATATATAATTTAAATAACATATTAGCTTAGTTTATTCGAGTCACTTTTCAATAAAATCTAAAATAACGGTTTTTTTTTTTTTTTTTTTTTTTCTTCATCAGGGGGAGCACATACGATCGGTACTACAGCCTGTTTTTTCGTCAGAGACAGGCTGTACGCCTTCATGGGTACAAATACATCCGATCCAACAATTAGCCCCGCTCTGCTACCTTCACTAGAGCGCCAGTGCCCAAAGGACGGAAGTCCAATGGATCGACTACTTCTCGATCAAGTGACTGGAGAAAGATTCGACGTCCAGAGCTTGATCAACATTAAGAATGGGCTCTCCGTCCTGCCCTCAGATTCCATACTGTACGACAACAACATCACCAAATCCGTTGTCGATTTCTACAGTGTCGACAAATCCTCATTTGCAGAGGATTTTGCGGTGGCTATGATCAAAATGGGTAGAATCGACGTCAATACGGGAACCGAGGGAGAAATACGGCAAGTCTGCGAAACTGTGAATCCAAGTCAGATTTGCCCCCCATTCACTTCAACGGGCTCTAGGCTGATATCAGACCACCTTTTATTGGCCTTACTATTTTTAGTATTGTTTTGTTTTTATTAGTGTTTTTACTCTATCTGCAGAGTGCAGAGTAAGAAAAAACTTTTAGTTATGTTATGTAATAATTGTTGTATGGATTGAAAGTGCTTGTAGTATGCGGTATTGAAATAAATAATTTTAATCCATCGATTTTTATTAATTAAAGACTTGAAAAAACTATATTGTTCCTAGTGTTAATTTATGCAGTAAATTTGTCCTGACAATTTTAAAATAAGAAAATATTTATTACAAGAAAAAGTATATCAATTAAATGTGTAGTATATAGTATTTATTGCATTTAGTTTTAATTTTTTTAATAAATTTACCCAATTGGACATCTCTCAGTGTGGCAGCGTTCAAAAGCCCATATTGATATTAGGCCCAAAATTCAAAGTCCAGAGCCCGAAGCCCAAAGCCCAAATTCCTGCACCGCATTTCTTCTTTCTTCTAAGTTCTATCTATCAAAAATGCTCGATTTCTGTCTCTTCTCCCCTTGGCTAATTTTGTTCTTTCAGTTAGGGCTTTTTCTCTCTCGCTCACAGACACACTGTCTTACACTCTGTGGAAGTTACAGTACGTCTCTCAACACACTACTGGAGCCTAATTTGCAGAATCTTCGATTCGGTCGGGAGGAAACCTAATTTTGAATCGCGATGCCGCGGCGGAGGGACGAATACGAGGACGACGAGCTGGAGCAGGACGAAGAGGAGGAGTACGACGCCGTTGATGAAGAGGATGAGGAGGCGGATGACTACGACGACGGCGGGAAGACGAAACGCAAGAGGGGTAGATCGGAATTTATAGATGATTATGCGGAGGAGGAGGACGAGGAGGAAGACGACGACGATGACGAGGATTACGGTGGAGGTGGAGCTGGTAGCCGTGGTGGTGGAGCCAAGCGGCACAGGAAGGCTGCTTCGGGGTTTTTCGATGAGGAGGCGCAGGTGGATACCGATGACGAAGAGGAGGACGAGGATGGGGATGACGGTTAGGGTTCTTTTCTCTGGGAATTTATTTTCTTCATCGTATACTTCGTCCATTATTGAATTTTGAGTAAATTTGCCCCTACTGTGACTGTCAATTGGAAAAAAATGGAAGATAAATAAGAGGAGAGACTTTAAATTGGGAAGAACCGGATATCAATGTTACGGTTGAGTGGTACCACTCCCATTCTTGTGATGGGAGGTTCCGGGTTTGATACCGGTTGTGCGGTGTTGTGACGCCATTTATTAGGTCAAGTTAAAAGAGGTTGTGAAAAGACCGATCTTTCTGCCTTCTATCATTTTTCATAACAAATTTAACACCGATCAATGATTTTTGTTTCTTATTTAATGTGATAGTGGAAATTATGAGGAGCTTCATGTAGGGATTTACACTCTTACTAGTTGAGCTTTCTGAATTTAAATATTTAGTGTTTAATCTGAAAGATTTTAGGGTGTGAAGTTGAGTTAAATGGCAGAAGAAACCTTTGCCTTTTGAGATGCGACGAGTTTATTTCCTTCGAATTGTCTTAAAATGAATAATTGCTTACATATCATGGTTGGTTGAAGCTGAGATGTTTGGACTGTAGAACGATTCTATTGTTCTTTTCTGTTGGTGATTTTACTTAATTTAGCAGCAAAGTGCGTAATGATTAAATTTGTGTATTCACTAATTTTTGGTAAGATTTATAGCCTCTTCAATTATTTTTCTTGCTGAAAGAGAAAATGACCTTGGTAGATTAGTTTTTAATGCTTCTCTTTATTTTTTTTGTGACTTTTGAGATCTCCTTTTCACTTTTTACATGTTTGAATTGAATAATTGAAGCTTCACTTAACATATATTTGTGTTTAGAATGATAGGATTTTACATTTTTGTCTGGACATTTAAGATTGGATACCGTTTGGTGCAATACAAGAAGTTCAGCGACTCCTGTCAGAGGGAGAAAGAGAGAATAATAGACAGTTTGTTGGCGCAATTGACCGAAAAGGAATTGTGTTGCAGATGAAATGCTTGATATTTCAAACATGATGAATTTGATAATTGCTTTTGGGTATGAATGTTGGTCTGTTTGGGTTTAGTCTTGTACTAGAGCATTATCCATGTCAGCGATATTTCCCTAGGTAGTTTATAAATTTCGGAGTTTGGAATTGCGTAAAAGTCAGACTCTAGATATTTTAGTTAGTTAGAATTTGTACAAATAAAGAACTGAATCATGTCGGTGGGTGTTCTCTGGATTATATTGGTACTTATGCTGAATGACTAGGCTTTCCTTGTAGTTTGAGTATGACTTATTAAGATGCTAGGCTTGGTAGCGTGTGAATTGGTTACCAAGTTTATGACTGTTCAGATTAAATAAACTCTTTCCCAGTTCAGAGTTAATAAACATGATGTGATAGTGTTAGTAATATATGTCCTAGTCAGATTCTGTTATGTGTTTGGGTTTTTGTAATGTCTTACTCGGTTATTGAAATAACTGCAAATATTTCATTAATGTTCATTGTGTTTTTTAATTTCTTATGCTGAATAGATGGTTTCACTAGTTCAAATTTGCTATTATCCCCTGTTAGTCTGATGGTATGGGATCTCAATATATAGATTTTATTGATCCTGGGGCTGATATACCTGACGAGGATGATAGAAGAATTCATCGTCGTCCGTTGCTTTCTCGTGAGGATGAGCAAGAGGATGTTGAGGAGATTGAGAGAAGAATTCAGGAGAGGTACGCTAAGAGCCTTAATGTTGAGTATGATGAGGAGGCAACGGATGTTGAACAGCAAGCTCTACTGCCTTCGATTAGGGATCCTAAATTATGGATGGTGAAATGTGCGGTATGATATAGGATATGCTTTAATGTAGTTTAATTAAATGAAAAAAAGTCAACAAATACAAATTAGTTTGATCCACTTTTTTCTCTACATAGATTGGCCGTGAAAGGGAGGTAGCAGTTTGTCTTCTGCAGAAGTGTATTGATAAGGGACCTGAGTTACAAATTAGATCTGTCGTAGCACTTGATCATCTCAAAAACTATATATACATAGAAGCAGATAAAGAGGCCCATGTGAGGGAGGTACGCAACAGTTAATTTTTTTTTCTAATCCTTTACTTCTTCAACTTCTTGATGATGTCATTATACATAATTCTATTTGTTGATTGACTGCTGTATAAATGCGAAATTCGTTGATAATGTTCTCCTACAGGCTATTAAGGGTTTGCGCAATATATATCCAAGCAAAATAATGCTTGTCCCAATCAAGGAGATGACTGATGTTCTCTCAGTTGAAAGCAAGGCAATCGATATTTCCAGGGATACCTGGGTTCGAATGAAAATTGGTACATATAAAGGGGATCTTGCAAAGGTATGTTTTGCCCCGGGTACTTCTTTCTTTTCACCCTTATGTTATGTCAGTTCTTATGTCTGATTTTTTCTTTCTTTTGTAAATCCTAGGTTGTAGATGTTGACAATGTTCGGCTGAGGGCAACAGTGAAATTAATCCCGAGGATTGACTTGCAGGCCCTTGCTAACAAATTGGTTTGTATTTGTAATATGTTTTAATAAGCATTTTTAATCTTGACCATCCTGAGCACGACTTGTGTTTTTTCTCTATTCTATTCGTATATGTAATTATTAAAATCCCATTGTTAGAAATGTTATTCTGAAATGAGATTGCATTTATTGAATTTATAAATTCTGTAATGAGAAATGCAGATGATACCAATTAGCTGATCATATGAGTTTTGCATATGACCTTTGTGGTGATAAACCTTGTTGGCTTTGTTTCAGGAAGGGAGGGAAGTTCCAAAGAAGAAGGCATATGTTCCACCTGCACGATTTATGAATATAGATGAAGCTAGGTATGATTGTTCTATTTTCTCTCTCTATCTATCTCTCCTACATTTTACTTTACTTAAGTCCCCATGTCGTATGATTTTTTTCATTCTTTTGTCAGGGAGCTAAATATTCGAGTAGAGCGTAGACGAGATCCAAGTTCTGGTGATTACTTCGAAAAAATTGAGGGGATGATGTTCAAGGATGGTTTCTTATATAAAAACGTGTCACTGAAATCGCTCAGAACTCTGAATGTGCAACCAACTTTTGATGAACTCGAGAAATTTAGGAAAACTGGTGAAAATGGCGATGGGGACACATCAAATTTGTCAACGCTCTTCGCAAACAGAAAGAAAGGTCATTTCATGAAAGGTGATCGGGTTATAGTTGTGAAGGGGGATCTTAGAAACTTGAAAGGGTTGGTGGAAAAAGTTGAGGAAGATACTGTGCATATTAAGCCAAATGAAAAAGGCCTTCCTGTGAGTAAAACGGAATTTGGCTTATCTATGCGATATCTCATATTTTATGTTTGAATGGACATCCTGTTAAGAGAATAACCATATTTGATGTTCTAATTTTCAGAAAACTCTTGCTATCAATGACAAAGAGCTTTGCAAGTACTTTGAACCTGGGAATCATGTAAAGGTTGTATCTGGCGCTACAGAAGGTGCAACTGGTATGGTGGTTTCAGTTGAAGTTCACGTGGTGAACTTAGTTTCAGATACAACCAAGGAGCTTGTATGTAATCTTCTTAACTTCAGGTATTCATTTTTTTTTTGTAGAAGTGTTAATTCTGTTACTATTTTTTCTTTACACAGATCCGTGTCTTTGCGGACAATGTTGTGGAAAGCTCTGAAGTGACGTCAGGTGTTACTAGGATTGGTGATTATGAACTTCATGACCTTGTGTTACTCGAGTAAGTTTTTCCCTTTTATGTAGATCTCTTTTTTCCAATCTCACTTTTCATATTTTTAAATTGAATATGTTCATAATGCAGTGACAATAGTTTTGGTGTGATTATACGTGTCGAGAGTGAAGCTTTCCAGGTTAGATAGATAAATAGAAGCCGGCAAAGATTATTGGTTTGTGATTCTGAAATTGCTTTATGGTGGCTACTCAGGTCCTTAAGGGTGTGCCGGAGAGGCCTGATGTTGCTCTTGTGAGGTTAAGAGAGATTAAATACAAGATCGATAAGAAGATTTTTGCAAAAGATCGCTACAAGAATACATTATCCGTAAAAGATGTTGTAAAGATTCTCGAGGGTCCGTGTAGGGTGCGGTTCTCAAACTCTATTTATAGCTCTGAATCTGTGATTCTTTTGTAGTGGTATGAATAAATGATCTACTGGTTCTGTTGATGTAATTTCTGACTCCATTATCTTTCATTATGTCAGGGGAAACAAGGTCCTGTTGAACATATTTTCAAAGGAATCCTATTTATTTATGATCGTCATCACCTTGAGCATGCTGGGTTTATTTGTGTTAAATCTGAGTGTTGTATGATGGTGGGTGGATCTCGCGCAAACGGTGATCGGAATGTATGGCTAAATTTTATTTTTTCAAGTTTTCATTCTTGGTTTTTTGAAGTGTTTACTTGGTTACATTGATCTAAATTGTTTTTTTCTGTAGGGTAACACAACGCCATCAAGATTTGCCCATCTCAGAACTCCACCTCGTCCTCAATCTCCCATGAGACCGCCAAGAGGCGGTCCTATGAATTGTAAGTAAATTCTGGATATAATTGAACTGCTTTTGCCTTTGTTTGTGTCAGTATCTGTATCCTCAGTGGTCCAAAGGTCCCAGATTGCTTCTCACTTAATTAGTTGGGTGATATTTTTGTTGTGATTATATATTATATTTTCTTGCATCTTTCGTTATATTTTTCACTTGGATTGGACAGTTGGAGGGAGGCACGGAGGTGGAAGAGGGGGAAGAGGTCATGATTCTTTAATTGGAGCTGCTGTTAAAATTCGTCTTGGCCATTATAAGGGATGCAAGGGACGCGTGGTAGATGTCAAAGGTACCACAGTCCGGGTTGAATTAGAATCACAAATGAAGGTGGTAGCAGGCAAGTTCTCTTTTATGTGGCCAAATGTTCTTTCTGATATTGCTTGTTCTCCACTTAATATTCTTCTTTCAACCTTGTTCAGTTGATCGCAGTTATATTTCGGATAATGCCAATGTTACTACGCCATCTAGGTAGGCTTTAGCTAATTTATTTTTTGCCTTTGGATTTTATTGTTTCTGATTTCATCTTTCTGACCAGGGAACCATCCAGATATGGTATGGGAAGTGAAACCCCTATGCATCCTTCTCGAACTCCAATGCATCCATTTATGACTCCCATGAGAGATTCTGGAGGTATGTTCTGGATACCCCACATCAGTTTATCTCACTGCACTGTTTTGATATGGTCGTGATCATTTGATATCTTTTGACTTTCGACCTTTTCACAGTAGCTCCTTCTCTTGATGGTATGAGGACGCCTATGCGTGACCGTGCATGGAACCCTTATACGCCCATGAGTCCTGCAAGGTATGTTTTCGTATTGAAAATGCATATCTGTTAACATTTTTATATGTGAATTTGGATTTTTATCTGAGTTGATTATGCACTTCAAAAAACAAGAACTATGATAATCATCATCCTTTTTCCCCCCTCCAAGTTTTTGCATCTGATTTAAGGAGTCAGCTCTTGTGATTAAATTGCTATGCTCATCTATAAATCTTTAAAGCTTTAGCCTTTAGTTAAATGTTACAGCTTGAGGGTGGTTCTTTGAACTCGACAAATACATCAAATTATTTAATATTTTAATTTTATAACTTTTATGATGTACGCATTTTTATTATAATTTGAACTGTCCATGCTGTTGATTTGATGTTTATTGAACTGCAATAATGAAATGCCAGGGATAATTGGGAAGATGGAAATCCTGGTTCTTGGGGAACTAGTCCACAATATCAGGTAACTTGTTTGAATTTTAGTTTAGGGTCTTCCTTTTATTGTGTGTTTATATACTCTCCTCCTACATGAAGTCTTGTAAAGCTATCCAGTCCTACTATTAATCAATGGTAGAATCCCTCAAAAACGTTTTTTTCGAGTTGGATTTTCTGAAGTCCGCTAGTTTTTTATTTGTGTAGTCTTCATAAATCACTTCTATTTTCAGCCCGGAAGTCCTTCTAGGAGAGCATATGAAGCTCCTACACCTGGTTCTGGTTGGACAAGTACTCCAAGTAGCAGTTACAACGATGCAGGCACGCCAAGGGATAGTAGTTCTGCCTATGGTAATTGGATTGTAATTGGATTATACCCTCATTGTCTTACAATCTCATTGTATTACAATCATACAGTACTCTAGATATTAGATTTTTACATATAACACTTCATGTTTTCAGCAAATGCTCCAAGCCCATACTTGCCCTCTACTCCTGGTGGGCAGCCACCAATGACCCCAAGTTCGGCATATTTACCTGGTACACCTGGTGGGCAACCAATGACACCCGGAAGTGGTGGTTTAGATATGATGTCACCCGTAGGAGGTCTGTCATTCTACCTTCAATTTAGCACATTTCTTTTGGAACCTTTATCCAAAATTCTGTTAAGTTGATGACATGGTATTACGTTATAAAATTCGGAAATTGCTTGCAGGTGCTGACAATGAAGGCCCTTGGTTCCTGCCAGATATTTTGGTCAATGTTCGTAGGTCTGGTGAAGACAGTTCTAAGGGAGTGATAAGAGAAATTCTTCCGGTATCTTTTCTTTTGATCCTCTCAATGTTACAAATACTATTTGTTAAAATTGGGAATGGGGGCTGTGTTGTTTTATAAAATAATGAATGTTAATGACTTCACTTAGACATGATAATACCGCATCTAGTATGCACGTTTAGACAAAGTGTGCCATCCAGTTAGTCTGTCAACATGATACAAGTCATATGACCGTAGATGTTAATTATCTAATATTTACTGTGAGAGGAAGTAATCTGGGCCCAGTTAGACATGATAATACCCTATCTAGTATGCATGTCTGGTTCATTCCCTAACTGGTTGTCTTTGTTTAATGACTTAACCGTTATTGTTTAATGAATTAAAATTGCTCTGGATAACGTTTCATCGTAATATAGTAACTATTCATGGTTTTCTCAATAGAATAAAGGGTGCGTGTTCTCTTCAAGAGGCGATTATAGCGTGTTAGTTGGTAACATTAAGATAAATGTTCTTAGACTCAGTTGCCAGTAATCATGTTTATGAGCTGAATGCTAATTTTGATTTATGTCACAACCTAGCATATGGGAGGCTAACTTGTAAAAAATGATAGCTGCTAATGGTATCAGTTTATTGTTTTTCAGGATGGTTCGTGCAAGATAGCTCTCGGATCAAGTGGGAATGGTGAAATAATCACTTCACTTGCTAGCGAAATCGAGGTAGTGGCTCCAAGAAAGGCAGATAAGATTAAGATTATGGGTGGTCAGTATCGTGGGTCCACTGGTAAGCTTATTGGTATTGATGGCACCGATGGAATTGTGAAAGTCGATGATACACTTGATGTCAAAATCTTGGACATGGTTATATTGGCAAAACTAGTTCAAACCTGATGTTCGCTTAACTAAAGCCTACCCAGGATTTGCTGAGACCGCAAAAGCTTTGGCAGATATAACATATATGTTATTTATTTTGTACATCTCGCAAGTTTTTGGAGTATTTTTAATTGACGGGCAAATATTTGAGAAATGGCTTCCACTTTTGTTATGATTTGTGACCATGGGATACGTGGAAGGAGCCAGGAATTGAAGGCAAAGAAAGCTAAGTTTACAAGGCTTTAATTAGTTATTTTCTTTTTTGTTTCATTTACAAAACGGGGCTGTATATTTTATATGGTATTAAACTAGATGGGAACGAATAGTCTGCGCAGTAATTAGTTTGTTGTTTCGTCTAAGTTGAAGTTTTAACTGTAAAAATCTGTGTAATTGTACATCTGATTGGTGTGTGCTTCTCATGATAATGATGGAATTGTTTCCATCTCAGATAACACGCCTTTTCGATTCATCATATGATTTGCTGTGAGTTGGATCAATGTGTTGGCTTTTGCTATCCAACTTAGATTTATCTGGCCACAGGTTTCTGGTTGTGAAAACTGCACATATGATAGTACCTAGTTGACTCAGAGATTTATGTAGTTTTAACTTGGTCAAATATTTATCCAAAATACTAATTTTCAATTATAGCACATAATTATTTCAATGAATCAAATCTTGCTTCTCGATATCTGCAATCATACCATACATGATTAATCAATTAATATAGTAATGATGGTATGTATATATTCTTCAAAGAATCAATCAATCAAATGTCTTGATTCTCAATGAAATCTGCAAAATATTCAAGTTATAAATACATACCTAATAATCCGGGAATGGGAAGAGGGGGAGAATAAAAACTTGTTTATTTCATTGATTTATTTAACTGAAGTTAAACAAAATATTTGAAAGTGAATACAATGAAACGAAATATTCTATGATTTCCACCCTATAAATCCCCTAAACATAAACACATCACAAATCATCATCGGCAAAGACTTGAGAAAAAAAGAAAAAAAGAATGATGATGATGAGGCAATCAACCTTCGCAACATTTCTGATCCTTGTGTTTGCGGCAAGCCGGCAACACTTGTCAATTCCCAATGTCACCAAGTTCGTATAGCCAACTTTCTTCCCGAACTACCCCGTGGAACTGTTACATCGTGCTTGGTTAATGATACGGATCTAGGGCTTATGACAATTGCTCCTAACAAGGAGTATGTCTACTCGTTTTGTGGTGATAAAACCATTTCATTTTGCCGTTTATATTGGGGCGAGTTCAAGGGGCTTACTGCACATGTCTTTGACAAATTCAGTGAAACTTGTCGCGGCGCTACGTGCTATTTTGCTCTGAAACCCGATGGAGCTTATTACTCTGATTCCTACCCTCCCAAGGCTCTCGTCAGGAAATATGAATGGCATGACATATAAAATTAATTAAACAACTATTGTAATAACACTATTTCAATTTTAATAAAATGCAATTACTTTTTTTTTAAGCTTCTTTTTTTTTTCGTTTTTAGTTTATATGTCTAACTTAGAATTTCAATTATCAAGTACGGATATTGAATCTAAACTAGAAGGTTGTTACTTTTAATGTTTGCGTAATTACAACCACCCATCAACTATGAACTCTTTTTACACGTCTACCTTTGATGTAAAGTCAAATTACGAAACCCCCTTATGTTTTGTTAATTACAAACTTGAGAATTATTCATATAATCTAGAAAATTACATTTAATTAGACACCATAAATGTAGACGTATAAAAATATTCATTGTTGATGGGAATAGTTGTAAATACCCAAACATAAGGAGTTTTTTACATGACCAAATAAGTATTGATCATTGAAACAAATCACTGAGTATTGATCATTGAAACAAATCACTGAACATAACTTGTTAATTTTACGAGACAAAGTATATGAAATAAAACGTTAATTATTGGATCAAGAGATAAGATGATGGACCTCCAATGAGTGGGATTCGAATGTTCGGAAGAAAACACGTGTCCTGTTTGGATTCACCGAATTCTCGACCAAAGATTGACAGGTGGCGAGTGCGACTTTTGAAGGTGGTGACAATGATACAAGTAATATGACCGTAAATGTTAATTATGCTAGCCAACTTGCCTTTTCAATACAAAACTAGTAACTCACCCATGCGATGCACGTGGATCAATTCTACGTATAATTTTTTAATGACTAAAATATGCCCATGAGATAAATCAAACACCTTTTAAAATAAAAAAAGATGTTAATGCGATGCATAAAGGTAATATAAAAAATGAAAAATATATTTTAGATAAAATAATCGAACAAAAACATTGAATAGTTGATATATGTTAATACTACTAATAATAATACTAATATTAATACTAATAATAATAATACTAAAACTAATACTAATACTAATAATAATTATAGTAATGCAAATACTGATACGTATACTCATATTAACACATATACTGATAATGATACAAATACAAATTGTAATGATACTCATACCGCCACTCATGCGATGCACATGCATTAAAACTAACCTCACAATACATGCAATGCACATGCATTAAATCGTAAAAGTGATAGAATTATCTCAAATCGTGATTGAGGGATAAGAATTTTATACTTGAGGTGTACATGATAATTAAGTAAATTACATGTTGATAAGAAAATAATCATCTAATATACATTCGATCGTTAAACTTTTAGCCAAACCAAAAATGATAACCAAATCCGACACTTCGAATGAATAAAGAAATTTGATAAGTGTCGATATTAGATTATTAGTTAATCATTGACAAATACAAATATGGAACAAATAAATACAATAATATATTTACATAATAATTGACGAAAAATATAATACTTTTTGAAATCATGTCCAAAACTTTACGATAATTGATTATTCATAACCGAAAAATTTATATAATAATAGAGTTGGAAAGTTATACAAAATTGCATGTTTACGATGCATTTTGCATCGCCAAAAGAGAAATTTGCATACGACATAAAATGTTTAAATTACAATGCTTGATATAAGTATAAACATTTGAAATTACCTAAACCCGGCCTATGTGAAAAACCCACTACAAAGCTCAATATCATACACATTTTGAATCAGAGTTTGTCTACCACATTTTTCAATTGGATAATCTTCTTGTCTGGATATAGCATTGTCGATGTAAACCAACTCATTGTCGAGTTATTAATGATTAGTTTTTCGGTATATTACACACCTTGTTGAGATTCTGAAAAAACAAAAGAAGAAATGAAAAAAAATTAACAAAGATTAACTATGAAAAATGAATATCAACAATAATAAAAATGATATAACAATGAAGAAAAAATATCAATAATAACATAAGAATAAAAATAATAACTAATCACAATAAATAACAATAAAAATAATAACGGAATATTATAATATTTACAAACCACAAAACGTATTTTACGAAAAATAAGAAAGACATAATGAAATGGAAACAAATTTAGAAGAATAAATGGAAAAAAATAGCAATAAATAATGAAAATTAATACCAAGAAAAAAGAAATAACATCGAACTCCAATTAATGTTCTTAGGATGAACAAATGAAAATTTGATTGAAAAAAAACAGGGGAATTAATCATGAAAACAAAGCAAACAAAAAAACAAATCGATGGGTTATGAGCCGGCGATATAAAAATATGAGTGAAGATAATGGAGTATTAATAGTGTTTTTTAGATGTGGTGTAAAAAGATGTTTTTAGATTTATACATGTTAGGCAATTAAATTATAAATTGATATTAACAATCTAACATAATTAGGGAATTAACAACTCAAATTTATGGACTGAATGATGATTGATTGTAGTAAAAAATCAATCAAAAATCGTGATTGGTATATTATATTGAAAATGTTGGTTATTAACATAATAATTCAAATTCTTAATTTTAAAAACCGGATATAAATTATTGGCTATAGAAAGTGATTTTTTGGTTATTGGCTATAGGAATCAATTATGTGTATAGGTAGAAAAATTTGAAACATTTCTTTTTTGAGTCATAAATTAAAATGTTCAAATGAAATAGAAAATAGTTTATTTATTGATTTAGGTATAGCGTGTACGTAGATATGCATATATTAAAAAAAACTGCATATATAAAATGAAACTGAAATGATAAATGTCGTTTTAATTTTACTAATGTCGTTCTGACTTCGAAAGTGATTTTGACTATTTTCTATTTTGAATTTGGCAAAGTTCAAAAGACGGAAATCGTAGTCCTTTGAGATAGCTTTCCAATACAACATGAATCACCTGGATTGGATGTTGGGTGACAAAGTTATGCATGAATGAGTTACGTTTTAAATTTTACATAATTTAAAACATCAAAGTTGTGGGCAGTGTTCACTAATTCATGGATAACTTTCTCAACCGACATCCAATCTTGGCGATTCAAATTAGATTAGAATGCTAACTCAAAAAATTACAAATTCCATGTTCTGAATTTTGCCAAATTCAAACTCGAAAATGGTCAAAATCACGTTTGAAGTCAAAACGACATTATGAAAACTGAAACGACATTTATCACCTCCCAAAATGAAAACTTGGACAAAAAAGTATATAATTATAATTAAAAGAAATTATGATGCCAAGTTAAAATTAAATTAAAATTGTGGGATAAAAATTAGAGATGACAATCCTTAGTTGTGGCTTTTGTCTTCATATATTATATAGATTTCCCAAAAAAAAACACATGATTGTATTACTATTTACAACATAACAAAAGACGGGTTGAAAACATTGTGTGATTCTGTAGAATTATACTATCCAAATCAAACGTTAATAATTCACTTTCATTCTTCCAATATTATAATTTTCCATAACTATTAATGAGATTTAGTTAATTGAATCATTAATTATAACATTACCATTAATATACCCAATTAAAAAACTAAAAATCTGAATCGATCATTTATTTTAGTGGGTAAAACAAATCCGATCATTATGCAAATTATATCTTTCAAATTAATATAAAGAATAATTTTATATTTATAAAACATAATAATGTAATAATAAAAAATAATAAAATATCAATTATTCATATATAATTATTCACATATATTAAAATATGTGCACAATACCCATTTGTGTGTCAAAACATTATCTATATTTGCAAAACGAAACAAATAAATAAAAAATAATAATAGATCAAACAAAGATTTTACACCAAACATAGATTATGAATTAATAATACATCAAACATGACAAAAATAAAAGAAAAAGAAAGTAGATGATGATTGAATATCGAGAGAATGTAAGAAAATCGTAATTCTCATCGAAACATTATAAAGTGAATAAATATACAAAATAAATTTTATAATATGCATTTAATGTAATAGATTCTTTTAAATAGAATAAGTAGACAAACAACTTGATGTATATAGGAAAGATTTTTATTAGTTGATTGGAATAATATATCATCTTAACTTAATTTAAAATTAATTTTCGAATTTGGTGGAAAAAATTATATTATATAGATAAATTTTATATTTATAAAAAAATGTATATATAAATTCATAATACATTCAAATTAAAATAAATGAAATATACACACTTTTTCTAATAATAAAAAATAATATTTTGATAATATATTGAAATTGATATATTAATTTTAATTCAAATTTGTAAACATCTAATTCTATAAATATAATACAATTCAAGGAATTAATAATGAAAAAATACGAAAATATATACGGATATAAACAAATCGAAAATATATAGATAATATAAAAAAATTGAATATTCATACATTAAAAATTGAGTTTTCTGAATTTATTTAAATATATAGGCAGAAAATATATTTCGAAAATTTTAAATCTTAAAAAAACAATATTTTTCGAATTTATAGGATATTACACACTGCATGAATATCATTGGCCGCATCCGAATTCCT